TAGTGACGGAACCATCAGCCTGTGTGCCAAGCAGTAGCCGCAAGGAAAAACGGCAGGAACCGGCGAATGGATCCTTCAGAAGTCAGCAATATATTCCGGCAGCCGGAGACTGGCAGCGTTTCACAATCTGCCGCGTAATTTACAGTCTCACATAAAAAATCAACGGTTGAATGCAACATTAGAGCTCCAGATAACCAGAGGACCACTTTCAGATTACTGGGAGACCGTTTTTCGTTAGTTGGTCTGAACAACCCAAAATATCATCACGCTCAAGAATGATCCATGACAACAACCGGTCCTAGCCGATGGGAAGCTATTGACACCAACACATTTCAACGATAGCCGATAGAGTACAGCTGTCCTTCGTTCCCCACCGGAGACGATCGAAGCTTCAAACGACAGCCGAGGCAGATGTGGCTATATAGATTGAAATGTTAGGACTTACAATCATTCCCACTGCGCTTCGTTCCATCTTAGACCCCTGAGTATCTTATCCATCTCGGTGGTCGCCGTAAAGCCCACCGGACAGTTTGTTATCGATGAGGTCAGAGGGGCATGGCGGATCATAGCTGACCGGGTCAGGTGGGGCCTGGACTACATAACGACAGCCGAGAGAACAGAAAGCACCAGTTCAGCTTGAGGCTTACCCAGACCAACATGAAGGCCGCGAGTTTTGGGAGAACTAAGCGAAGACTGTAAGCTTTCCCGATCGTCATAATGCTCTCATTCACCGGTATAATAGCTGGAGCATCATATCTGAGCGGCGCACATCGTTGGTCTGTGAATGTTGTCTAAACGGCGTCCTGTCTTCCAATGATAATCAAATCAAACAAGTTAGGCTAGCCTATGTCTGAAGCTGTGAAAATTCGCCATCAATCTCCTTGCTACAATAGCTGAATAACTAGAGATATGTGCGGTTTCAGATTATCATCGCTGCTCTCGCCCTGGTGGCAGCCGACGACCGACCCAGGCCAACCTACAGGCTCCGGTCTTACTACGCCCCGGCCCCGGCCCACAAGCCCCAGCCCAGCTACGCCCGCGCTCCCTCCTACGGACACAGCGGCTACA